TTGATCCCTCGGGAAATTGGATCCACTCGGGGCAGGGTCAAAGGTCGGGCTCGGTGGTGCCAGAGGTTTAAGGAGAGATTTAAACAACTTCTCAGGGAAAACAGGGCTTGAACGAAGGACACAGCAGCGCCTTCGCGAAACCACCGTTGTTGTTGTTGTTGTTGTTGTTGTTGTTGTTTCCACACTGACCTGCAGCTTCCCGACAAACGGGCCGATGTCACGGGAACCACTGATGCTTCAAAAGGTCGGGGTGACAATGTCCAGCAGCCCGCTTCACTGCGATAACGCGTGTTTTTGCCAAAGTGGGCGTTCTCAGTTAGACAATTCACTTCCTGTAGACAAAACAACACGAGGTCCCAAATTCCTCAGATGTCTTTGAGAGAAAACGTACGTTCTGTGTCGTGCACGTCTGCGTTCATGTCCGTGACTGAGCTGGGTCGCTCTTCCTGAAATCGAGCTCACTAGAACACGTTCCGGGAATTTCCGCTCGGCTATTGTTGAACCAATCGACCAAAAGATAAATGTAGAGCTCCTGGAGGGTTTGGCTCTGTGAGCGTCCAACATGCAGACGTAGCGGAGGGGAAAGCGAGTCATTACGTCGCTACGCGTCCAGATGGAGAAGCTGCAATAAACCTCGGGAGGAGGCAAATGTTTCCGCTGACGACGGGAAAATCGGCTCTCCGGGTTTTTAAAATCTCTTGGCAGTCGCGAGCGAGTTCGTGTGTGTGTGTGTGCATTTGGATCTACGGGCGTAAACGCAGGTGTGTGTGGGATGTTTGTATGAAGTTTAATCACGGCTAACGCAGCAGATCCGCAGCTCGGCCTTCCTTTTCCCCGACAGACACAGAGGGGTCGTCTTAATGCATCAGCTATTCACATCTTGACATGGTTGTTTTTCTTTGCATTCTTCGTCCCATAAATACATTTCCCAATGGAGAACCAAACAGCAGAGTGTCTGTATTTTGGGGACAACAACGTGATGGTGTCTACTATCAACTCTTGGCAGGATGGCGGGAGTCCAGCTCCCCTGTTGTGGTACCTTGCACAGCTTCGGGTTGACCTCGACACACTGTAACTCAGCCTCGACGAGGCGAAACAGAAACACCCCGTCAAACCCCCGCGGGACACGAGGTGAAGTGCCTTGTGGGTGTAGCGTTGAGCGGGAGGCCCTCCGTTAATACTACGAAATGCAACTCGGGCCACGGGACTGATTACGACCTGCGGCGTGTAGCTGTTGCGGCGTGAAGCCTTTGAGCAAACACCGTTTGTGCAACGGCGGGAGTCTCGTGTTGCGTTCGTGTGATGTAAGGCCGCGAGGAAGCTTTAAGGAAGCCGGAAAGAGCGCGGAATGAGATGAGGGGCCTCGCTTTGATAGCGCGTGTGCGTGATGAGCTGATGGACGGCAGAAGAGAGGAACCCCTCCAGGCCACGCGGAGAGAAGCAACTCCACCCTGATGAAGGGGAGAGAAAAAAACTGAGAGACGTCATTCATCGGTATAATTTGTGAGCAGCAGCAGCAGCAGCACGCGGCCTCCGCGGGCAGCTTTGGGTCACAGTTCGGTGAAAGACTTCATCGAGTCAGGACAACGCTGGTGTGACCTTGTGCAAGAATACAATCATGAGCTTCTTCTTTATCCATTTAATGCAACTTCACACGATATTTCAACCCCCTTTGTTCAACAGTTGCATTAAACAATGTTCAGTGGCACAATAACTGTGTGTTTAAGAGCTGTCTCAGGCTCTGCCATATCGTGGGCTTATTTATTTATAAAAGCCCTATTAAGAACATGACACGGCTAAGCTTCGTTATTGCCAAGAGCCCCGTAATAAGGCGGCTCTCTCCAGGGACTGCACGGTAATAAACACTCATCTTTTCTACATGTATTTAAAACGGACGGAAACCCTTCCAGCTCTTCTCAAATAAAACTGCAACGTCCAGTATAAAGCAGCCCCAAAAGCCCCAGGTGTCTGCACCAGCATTCCTCCCCTCGGGGGAGCGGGGGGGGGGGGGGGGCAGATCGCCCCTTCGGCCGCACTTCAGAGTGGGCTGTTGGGTGGAAACACCTCACCGAGGCGCACTGGTTCCGTGCAACGCTCTGACTAATGCGTTTAAAAGGCGATAGTGGGCCCTATTTAGCGGGCGACGTTCATCTGGGGGCCCATCTGGGGGCCACGCTGTCAGAGCATGCCCGGGGGGTGACCAACCCGAGCCGCAGCCCGCTGCTGTAGCGTAGGACCCCGCCCGCTCTCTGCACCACTGATGCTTAACCAGCCAGCTGTGCTCTCATGCATTGATGTCGTAATTAGCTAAATCACAACCGTTTAACTGACTTTTTCCGATCCACAGGATCTGGTGTAATTGTAGTTGATGCAACAAGAGAGCCGGCACTCACATTATGGGTGGTTTAGGGCGGTTTCTGAGCCAACAGTGCACGTCTGCTCTTTGTTTTATAGCTAATGGTAGGCTCGTGAGTGCGCTTTGAGTCTTTGTTCACAAAAGTGCTATAAAAGGTTTGTTCCTGCATCCTGCGGATGCAGAGCAGCACTTATCTGTAAACACATTGAACAAGGAGGACATGCCTGGTGAAACACTTTGTTGACATGTGTCCTATATGAGATGAACTTACTACTTTTTCATACATTGCTTCAGTGAACTCTGTGACTCAACACACATAAAGTGTGATTGTATTATTATCACTTTATCCATTAAACAAAACACGTTAAACCCAAATGAAGGAGACCTCTAAGTCTCAATGTAATATCGAGGGCTCTTTTTGTCCAACAACAGTAGACAAGACCATCAGTTACTTTAATGGCTTCTTCTAAATAGATTTTTTTCTCCAGATCAGATTACTGGACCAAATCACGCAGGTTCCCCAGAAACTCCTTTGCTTAGTTAAATATTTATTCACAATTCGATTCATAGCCGTTTCAAATGCCGCCGCGAAGTCCCATCCTATGAGCTAACGCGCGGCTGCTCATACCGCCCGTGCTCGCCATGTGTCGATAGGAAACAGCGGCCGTGGGACAAATGCTGCATATTTGCAGGGCCACATGCAACTTGATATTCAGCTGAGACAACCAGCGCTCAACAACAGCACAAGGGTATTAAGCGTATTAAAGCTAATGGTCAGGTGGTAACGCGCGGCACATCCCTGCTCCAAATGCCAAATGCGGCTCCTGGGTGGGTAGTTGCCATGGAAATGGAGAGCAGACCCAGTGTTTGTCTCCGCTGGCGATGGAAAGGTAATTGACTCGAGCGCTCGGCTGTGTGGAAAAACAACCTGCAGATAATATATAAGACGGCCAACGGGAGGACGCTTGGGGGGGGGTGAGCTTTGCTAACATGTGGCTGTTCATTTATTTCTCCTCCAATAAAGGAGCGATGAGCTCGCTTTGAGATAAACATGCTTTGCAGACTTCATCATCAGAATGGACAATGTTAGCTGCAAATATTTGATGATTCAATATTTAATTAAAAATACAGATGTCATCGCAGTGGCGAGATATCAAATCACAGACTTCAGGATGGCTCGTCATCTGGGAACCACGAATGTGCTCCATGCCTGAGGCCTCCAAAACCTCGCACTTGTTCACTGGATGCATCTCTTGGCTAATCGGGTTAATCGGTCGCAGAGACGAGAGGCTGCAGGAGACAGACGGGCCTTAATCCACCGCCCGTTTGTCACACAACAACCGGACCGGCTTAATGTCCAGCGCTTTCCAAGGAGAAACCGTCCCCGAGCGGCCCACAAGCATCCGACCGCCCAACTCCACTAATGGCGCGTTGCCACCGAGCGGTACAGTACGGTACGGTACAGGTTGGGTCAGTACCCTTTTATTTGTGTCTCCACTGCCAAAAGTTGAGAATCCGAACCGTACCACTTTTTGGGTACCCTTCTGTTGGGGTACCTGGCACAGTTTCTGGAATACACCACGCCTATCAAGTAAGGGTACTGTTGGCAACCCGACCCGTACCGAACCACACCGCTCGGTGGAAACGCGCCATAAGTGACTCAGCAGCAGCTGTTCCCGCGGTTTTCCAGGCAGCGGATAGCCGCCCCGGCGCAGCTCAAATCCTTCGTCACTGTCTTTCCGGGTGAGTCCGTGCTGCGGGTCCCGTGTGCGCAGCATGCCGGGGGAGGGTGGTGGTGGTGATGCAAACGATCGGAGGATCTGCAAAGGTTTGGCTGCCCTGCTCCTCCACACCCCCCCATGCAGATTAATGCATTAAGAGCAACTGATTTAGCACAAATCCACTTACACGACATACAAGAGTTGCGGACTATTTTGTGACCCAAGATCATTCTGGCATCGGCTTGGGAAGAAAATAGCTGAGAAACCTCGCTGACTATAGTGAAGCCACAATATACAGGTCAAATACTCAAATGCAGATTTGTGCAGCAGGCACAGCGGAGACATGCTGATCAAAGGGGTGGAGTCCTTGCAGGCCCAGTCACATAAAAGTGACAGCGATGTCATGCTAATGGCATTAAGGCTTTGCAGGTAGAGGCTAACTCAGGACAAAGGGTTGTGTAAATCTCCCGCTGAGGCCGGACTCTTGGGTCAAGGCCCGCTGTCCCAACACCAGCGAAACACCTGAACGGATTCACTTTTGCCCTCCCAAATGTTCACTGATTTTAGAGGGTTCGTGGGTGGCAAGAGTTTACTTCCTAGATTGTAGGACTACTTTCTCCAGTCATCGGGAGCTTGGTCCGATCACATGTCAGTTCCCGCTCTACAAACACGGATACAAAGCGCATCTCCTGTGCCGGTAAATCCCTGCAGCGCCTGAGACCTTTAAGCCTTTTAATAGTGCACAGCCTCATCCCTTAAGTAATGCTAAAGCATTGTTTGGCAACTGAACAGTGCAAGTTGGGGAAATGTGGGTCAGACAGACTTTAAGACGTTGCAAATGTGATTCACTTCTAAAAGCGCCGGTTTGTGAGTAAGTGTGGATGAAAACGTGAGGACGCCAGAAGAAGCACTCTGCGGCACAATTCTTTTAGTAACAAATTTTTTATTACAACATTTCACGTTTTTTTTCCATTTCTAGTGATGTTTTGTGGCAGGGTAACATGGCTGCTGGAACGACTGAGGATGCCGATCTACCGTTGAAAGCACACAAATGGAATCAATTGCAGGTATATTTTGCGTTTCCTCATCAGAGACAATTCAGACAGATTGCATCACAAGAGCCACCATGAATTGCTTCGACAAAAGGGCGTCAAAATCAAACGGTAAATGAGGTCCATTTGAGCGGCTCCGGGATCTGGGTGGAATCCGTTGTATTTTTATCCTCGTGATATATATAAAAAAAAAAAAGTCTCAATTTTTGGGGGCATTTACATTTTGGCCGATGTACAAACAAAGTTGTGCATTTCCGAAAAGACAAAGAAACAATAACACGCCTCAGCTCGGGCCAAAAAGCAGCCGCACAGGAAGCCGGGGGTTGGTGGCGTTTCGGGGGACGCCGATGAGCTTCCTGGGCCGCGCCCCGCCCCCTTTTTAGAGCACACTTCAGCGACTCCCCTCGAGTCTGCCTCCACAACCTCCCCCCCCTCGAGGTGGCATATTTTAAAAGGAGGCGAGGGCCGCCCCCGACGACAAAAGAAAAGAAAAAAAAGACAAGTGTCCCTCGTCCACAGACTGTGCAGCTTGGTTATTGTTGTCGTGTCATACTTTCGGTTACAAAGTTATACATCTAGAAGAAGTGGCTGAAAACAAGGCAATGCGGGGGAGGAGGGGTGGGGGTGGGAGGGGGGGGTGCGGTGTACAGTGCATGACGGGGGTGAGGGGGGGGGGGGGCTTCACGACTTCTCTGACGCCTTCTCCTGTTCGATGACTGCGGGAGAGAAGAAAATGAAAGTAGGTGAGACGCCGCTCCGAGCGTCAAGTTATACACAAGAGTAAAAGCACAGAAACAGCCGAGGGGGATGTGATGTAACCACACACACACACACGATGGAGGAAATGTAAAGCTCACCATCTTGTGTAGGCAGGGGATTCTTCTCCTGGGTCTCGGTCTTCTTCAGCTTGGACTTGTCGAAGCTGCTCACTTCTGAAACGTCGGGCTTGGCGTCACTCATATTTGCAGGTTGTCTGAAACATCAAAAAGGACAGAAAAAAACACGCACGCGACACTTAAAAACTGGGGCCAATGTGCAAGGAGGCAAATGTAAACATCTGATTTGTGTTTATCGGGCTGTTGTAATGCTGTCAAACAAGTAAAAACCAGCAGACGAGGTCCACCCGGACTTCCCTCGGCTTATCGGTCTAAGGGCGTTGCCTAAAATCTCAGTGGCCGAAAAATAGTTCAACTCCATGCGCGAACCGGGGACTACTTTCTCGCCTCTTAATGTGCCTCCGCCTGCTTTTGTTCGCCCCAGCGTGCGTCCCGCTAGCAGACACGCGCGTGTTGCGCAGCTGCACGGCGCGTGTGCGAGATATTCTTCTAATGATGAAATGAAGAAAAACTTATAAAATGTGTAAATACCGTAATCCAGCGGTAAAAGATGGATTCATTAAGTGTCCACGAGGAAGGAGTGAAACATCCGCAAAGGCGCTTCTTCCCCTCCGGACCGCAATCTGAAGGAAACCACCGCCCAGATGCGCATTTTTTGCACCTTTGCGTGAGGCTTAAAATCCAAGTTCAACTGCGTTCAATGAAAATATTCACCAAACAAAATAAATTGTGGCCAAATGAGAGTGCATAGTTTAAATAACGGAACCACGCAGCACGAGCACTAACGGGACACAAAGGAAACGGTCCGACGCGCGTGAACGTGCAAAGACAAAAGGTAAAGGGCGCGCACACGCTCGCCGTGTCGTCACCGCGCGCTCTGTAATTAGCTAATTAGACGTTAAAACAAACAAACTTCAAGTTCGGAGCGATGCTCGCATGTCTCGCGGCTGGTTCGGCGCTCGCTCGACGCGCTCGACGGGGCGGCTCGGCGGACGGCGGCTTACCGGCGCGTCGGAGGATGGCTGGAAGGCGTCTTGGTCGGTGCGTCGCAGCAGTAGTGGCGCGTGCTGGCGCAGGCACGAGATATAGTCAGAAATATGCTAATGACGTCTGACATCACCGGCTCGCATCCTCCCCCCCCTCCCATCGCGAGATGTCCATCCTCGTGCTAAAACCAGACATAAAATCAGCCGAGAGGAACCTCGTATCGGGAAAGAAATGGAACTATTTACTATTTCTATTGGGTTGACACTTCACTTTACCACCACTAGATGTTTTATTTGAAATTCACCGTCAGTCGGAGAGTTTCATGACTAAATGTCTCTTATTGATATGAATATCACTTTGTTTCTGCACGTTAGTGCAGCAGCGCCCCCTGGTGGCAGATGCGTCCTCATATTGATGCGTCAGCGTGTCACTGAGGATGACGTTTCTCTCCTTTGTTGGCTGATGAAGTAATCGGGCACCTGATTGAGTCAGAGACAGTTATTGGCGGAGGACGTATTCAGACGTATGTAACCAATCAGTTTAATCTCTGGTGTCATTCAAATGAAACAAACAAAAAGCAACCAAGTAAGCAAAAAAGTGACCTTTGAGCTAAAGAGAAGTGAGATAACATGTAAAGTGTTAGAGAAACACACTGTTACCTGAAAATAGGCTTATACGCAGCCATTTTTAAAAGTTTTTAAAAAAGGTGTTAAAAGTTTAATATCAAAACTACTCAAATATTCCACAGCATTCAACCATAGCTTTATTGATTTATTTAAAGTTATCACAATGGGATTGTATATAAATTGTAACATTTTATTAAACCTTCCATAAAACTATATGAACTTATGCTGCATCTTGCAAGGCTGCTAGATTCACAGAGGACATCTAAAGTCCCAACGTGTATAATATATTCGACTAATGTAATGTCTCTTAAGAAAAGCAAAGATCATCATCACGTGTAAGCCATTGTCAACACTTTATTGTCAAAGAAACCGCTGAGTATTACATATAATAAAAAAAAAAATTTAAAAAATGAAATTACGCCTTCTCACCACCTTTTTTATCCACCTAGAGGCAAACTGCGAAAGCTGCCTCCTTGGAATCAAATGACCCGTTACAGCCGTGACGACAATTGAAATCTTGACACTTTTACAAGCTTCGGGTCTCAATTTGTTTTTTCGTGACCTTTTGGAACATGGACGACACGCCCAGCTGCACCTCTTACCAGACGTGTTTCATCAGCAAGAGTTTGGAAAGTCGTCTCGAAATCCGATCGTTTTTAGCACAATTGATATAAGAAGATGGTCGTCATGCAGATGAGCCGCCACTCGGGGGCAGCAGCGCGTCGTGGGAGAAGTTAGGACACATTCTTAGTGCTCACAAAATTACAAAACGTGTTCTTTCATCTTACTCCCGCTCGAGGGGCTTAAACCTGATGAAGCATGAACTATTACAATCGATATATAGCTAGTAAAGGGTTAGGTTATATTATTTTAATACTTTTTAGAAGGCGTTGAAGAAATGTCGGGGGAAAGGTGCGGCCTTTTTAAAAACTCTGCGACGCAGAAAAGACCAACATATTTGTAATGACATGACGTTGTGAAATGCTTAATTTCAAGTGGGTTCAATAAGAGGTAAAAATACACGTTTGCATGGTGGAGCCTTTGGTTAAGGGAAGGCCAGGCCTCGGCTGATCCAAGGTCGGCAAGACCGAAACTAAAACATGAGAAGAAGAAAAAGAAAATCAAAAAAGAGAGATACTCATAAATAAAAACTTCGGTGCAAAGAAAATGATATTTTTCTTCGTCTCCTGGGTGAGAAGACAATGTTAGGGCGTGACCTTAAAACTGTCATGTGGGGGTTGGCCAAAAAGCATCCGGCCATATCTGGAGGATGGGTGGCAAAAAAGCCCCGCTCGGAGGGGGGCGGCTCGTCTGTCTCTACAAGGGGACGTGGCTGAAGAGGTAGGACACAGACTCGCCGTTGTGGGTTCTCCTGATGGCCTCCGCCAGGATCATGGAGATGTCGATCACCTGGAGGAAACAAGTCCAACGTGAGCGATCGAAAAACCAACCACAAGGGGAGAAAAAAAAGCCGTGTTGTAATGGACAACAAGAGCGATGTGGCAACCGTGAAAACACAACACACATACAGCAGGAATGTGTGCGCGCATATACCTGTATTTTCGGGCACGCCTTCATCTTCTCTTCCTGTGGGATGGTGTTGGTCACCACCACGGCCTCGAACGGGGCGCTGTTGATGCGGGAGATGGCCGGGCCGGAGAAGATGCCGTGTGTGAGGATGGCGTAGACCTTCACCGCGCCGGCGTCAATCAGCCTGGCAGGGGAAAAAAAAAACGACTCGTCAACATTTAAATTCATTCAAAAAGAATTTATTCCATTTGAATCCTTGCAATTTAAAAACAAAGATCGTGGTGTCGGCACACAGCCATACGCACAATAAAAAAAAATTGAAATGTCAAACGGCACTGACTTGTCGGCGGCGTGGCAGATGGTGCCGCAGGTGTCGGCCATGTCGTCCACCAGGATGGCCACGCGGTCCTTGACGTCCCCCACCAGCACCATGCGGTCCACCTCGTTGGCCTTCTTCCTCTCTTTGTGGATGAGGGCAAAGTCCACGTTGAGACGGTCCGCGATGGACGTCACGCTGCACAGGGAGAGAGCGAGAGAGGCCCATTAGGCCAGGCGGGAAACGTGCGACTGCTCGGCAACCCGGACGACGTGTTGACTCTCCGCCCGACTCCTGGCGGAGGAAATGAGCCGCAGCTCGGAGCGGAGAGGCTGTGATCTCTCGGCGCGTCGCAACGTACCGCTTTGCCCCGCCGGCATCTGGAGACACGATGATGCAGTTTTTCCACTCCGGGATGTTTTCCCGGATCCACTGAAGCACGGCGGGCTCCGCGTACAGGTTGTCCACGGCGATGTCGAAAAAGCCCTTTAAGAGACACGAGCGTGACATTAAAAGGTCCGTGCAGGAATACGTGCGCCAATGTCAGTCTAACCGGACAGAGAAAGCCCACACAGCTGTATGCTGATGTGCACTCTGGTTATTAGAACTGGTCCCACTGTGTGAACGCTGAGGTGAACCAACCCTTAATGCTGCCCTCATTCTCCCCGTAGCGCTTCATATGAATGAGCTCACAGTAGGTCCAACTGCAGTGGGCCACCGATGGGACGGCTGTGTACTGACCTGGATCTGAGAGGCGTGGAGATCCATCGTGATGATGTGGTCGGCGCCGGCTACGGACAACATGTTGGCCACCAGCTTGGCTGATATGGGTGCTCGACTCTGGGAGAAGCATCAAGACAGTCGCGTCGGGTAAGTAATAAGGAAAATTAAAAGGTCCAATCACTTTGATCTGAAACGATGGGACGGCCTCGGTTTGCTGAGGAAAGTAAGACGCGCCACCATTGCAGCCCGTCGCCATGGAGATCTCGGCCTCGCTGCAGGCTTCTCAAGAAAGGGCAACACGGCGCAAATATACGCGAGTACTCGGCAGGCCTCGGGGCTTGTTGGCAAACACTAGTTTCCTGGAGACGGCGGCTCAGCTCGTTTGATGGCCGATCAAGGTCGACTTTAAGTTTAAACAGCTCCGACACACATTGACAAAAAAACGACACGTGACCCTCACACCATACGCCCTCACGTGAATAAATTTAATTCAAGTGTGCAACAACAGAGTGGAGTTCTGCCGTTGCCTCATTTGGACCCGGTTTGCTGTTGTGGTTACACAAACAAAGATAATGATTTATAAGATAAACAGAGTCTCGGCCTGCCGGAATGTCCCATGTGTCATGTGCACAAACCACTCAACTGGTGGCCCGGAGCCAGTGTTTAAAGCACAGGACCTTTTACCACTAATAACTTCTATCATCACAACTGTGTTTTACGGGTTTATGCAGTAGCCTCTGCTTATGGGGGGAGTTACACCTGTTGCCACATTAAAGTATTGTGAATCATTTGTGGGATGTGATGGGGCCTTAATAAAGTAATGGGTGATGCATGCATGGATCATTTTCTGAGCCAATGAAAAACATTTGAGTATTTCTGCATTTGCTGCGGTTGTTGTTGTTGTTGCCTACCTTGTCCTTTTTGTCCTGCCGGGCGTAGGGGAAGCAGGGGATGACGGCGGTGACGCGTGACGAGGAGGCGATCTTACACGCATTGATCATGATGAGCAGCTCCATCAGGTTGTCGTTGATTTCGCCACAACCGCTCTGCACGATGTAAACGTCCTCGCCGCGCACGCTCTCCCCGATTTCCACGCTGTGGGAACAACACATTAATACGAAACCCGTGACTCCTCGGGACCACCTCCCCATTAACGGCCATGCAATAAAATGTTGTGCACTTTCTAATTAAAGTGCTGAAGTTATGACCGACAAGGTGTTAAAAGTTTGGGCTGCACTCCCATTTGGGAAATATTCTAAATATATATATATAAAATTTACACACACACGAGGCCGGAGCAGGCAGAATGCGTGTGTGAAACATTCCCTTGTGGGGGGGATGACCAAGTCATGTGACCACAGAACAGACACAGTTGTAAAGGAGGAAACGGTATGTGGTCAACAGGACAGCAGAGTCGGTCAATAACGGCTGCGCCTTAAACACGTATCATCGCATTATGATTATGTGATAATTTATTTAAAAGTGTGAGTTTCGGTCACAAAAAGCTTCAAATAATCAGCAGACATGATTACAAATCTGATTATCAATCAATACCAGCTTGCTCTGTGTGTTGGGACAAACCCGGTGTCGGGGGCGGAGAGGAGAGCAGCTATCAGCGTATCGTTCTCACCGTGGCAGCCCGTGAGAATGAGAAAATAATCTTTGTTTTGCACTGTGTGTCGTCCAAACAGCTGCGTTCCCAAGAGAGGAATGGTTAATCAGAGTTTTCCCTGGGTTTTTAGAGTTGTGGGTGTAAACATCAACAGCAGAGAAAGTTCAGAAAGAAAAAAAAAGGTTACAAAACGACATATTCCGTGGTGGTGGTGGTGGGGGGGGTTATGCAGATTGCATCACAATAGAGTGAGTGCATCAGTGGGCAACCTGAGGGAAGTAAACACAACTAATCCAGTGCTTCCTTTGGGTCTGAATTCAACTGGGGGAGCAGACAGGCCAGCGTGCAGCCGAAGGGTCCTCCTGCAGGAGGGGTCAAACAAGTCTTGCCCGACCTTAAACAGGCGGTCAAGGCCAAAAAGAAAAAAGCACTGAGAAAGAGGACATTTACTCTGCTAATGTAAAACATGGTCAGCTGCTGGCGTGCAGTTAGTAATTCATCTAATTAGCTTTGGTGCTTAGGAAGTGAGCACAAACGAAGTGCATGTGATTGGAGCTAACTTCCCTAGCAATTCAGGCAGTAATGGGAGCTACCTAAACACATGTTTTTTCCTATTAACGTTATAACGCAAGGTGTCCTCTTACTTTAGACCACATTTGACATGTAATACGTCCCTCTGGGACACTGTTGTGGTTGAAGTTCCGTAACGTTGTTCGCCCCGTCGGGTGCGTGTAACAGCACTGAGCCACATGTGTTAGTCTGTAGTCTGGGTCGCAGCTAGCATGTATCCATCTAGCTAGGTGTAACGCAACATTTGGTATCCTCGTAAAAATATATGTTCCTACTATACAACTACTCGCCTAGAGTAAATATGTTAACGGGTCATTAGAATAAACAAAATGATTGAAAGGTTATTCCGCATAGTCGAGACGGGTAACGGGGCTCTGGATGGACACCAGTTACACAGCATTTGGCCTCCTCCATAGTTCCCCCCCATCACACGCGAAACTTTACGTTCCGTTAGCCTAGTTAGCATCACTCGCCCCGCACAAAACACAACGTCACGGAACCTCGCGTTAACTCCGGTTCCGTGGTTCTGGTCCACGTTAACGGACACGGAATATAAAAACGTCGCGAAAACATTTGGCGGCTATTTACGCCCGAGCGAGGACAACGGTCCGCTAACGGGCGCGCTGGTGCCCGCTAGCCCGGTGTGTTTACATGCGGCTAGCTAGTCACGTGTCGCCTCTACTTTCCAGCCCGCTGAAAAGTAGAGTATTGTTAGCCCGGAGCTAACCCTCCACACATGGGGGACCGAGGCTGGAGCGGCTAGCAGCCACTGCAACGGAAACCTGCATTTCATGCCAACGACAAAGCTCCCGCGTGCATTGAAAACAGAATAATACAACACTTGCCATGTCTCCTGGTTGCTGAATTTCTTCGTGATCACTTTCCCCAGCTCCAGTCCCAGCCGATCGGCCACTTTCTGGGACAGGTCGTGGTGTGAGCTCCCGCTAAAAAGCACGATGTTAGGCATGTCCGCAAAAGAAGAACAAAAGTCCCCCCCCCCCCCTCACCCCGCTGCGGTTTGCTAAAGAAACGGAAAAGGAGCGTAAATGAATACGACCGCTCGCCCACCCGAAGGGGTTCTTGCAAACACGGGGGAGATTATGGAGCTAGTGGTGCAGCCGTGGCATCGCAGTGCGGGGCCGCGGGCCGAGAGGAAGTAGCGGGGCAGCCTGCGCTCATTGGACGCCGGTCCGCGCGCGCGCACATGCACACACACGCACGCGCACGGTGATTATCGTCACGTAACGTGCTGAGGCCTATTTATAGTTGCTTTTAATCTTTGAAAACACCTTTTTAATGCATACATTTGTTTTAAAATGGTTTATTTTTTCATGTATTTATTCATTAGTTCATCAAAACACATTATACATTATTATTGTTACTTTTGCTCGTATGTGATCGTACAAATGTTCCACCTCTTCTGCTTATCTTGATGATGGAATAGAAAATGTGTTGCATTCTGGTCTCGTTTTTGTTGCATTTTGGTCATAACATTTGTAGAAACTTCTTAGTCTTTTGAAATCACAAAGTAAAAATGATTGATATACAGCAAAAAGGCTGAATATCTCCGCTTGTTTTGTCTGGACTATGTTTGTTAGCACCATATATACAGTGTGTAGGAATTTGATTTGGTTGCTGCATTTCAGTCGGTCACTTGATGCTCTTGTAATTAGATTGTCCACTCAGCCAGGAGTCAGCTGAGACTTTTCAGTGGTGACTTTCTACCATCACTGCTGTCATGTGCTCGCAGTTCTTCAGATAAAGCTCTGGTCACACAGTTGAGCGTTTTCTTATTAGGAGATGATCCTCTGAAAAAACGAGCATTTTTCAAATGCGATAACAGTGAAGCAGCTGTCCTGGATTTCTAAATAAGCTTCAGGAATTCAACTACAACCAGCACTATTGATTATTCGCCCGTGGGTAGTGCTCACGTGGACTGAGTAGTCATTTCACTAAAGAGGCGGAAGGAGAAGAAAGCCCAAACTCTACATTTGTTAATGTGGCACCGCGTTGAAAATTAAGAAAGGGTTACTTAACTTCAAATGTCCCAAGAACGGATAAGAAAATCTTTCATTTGTGAGTGTATCTGCTGAACTCATGTTCCCCTGGCGACTTGTTATTGACGTGACAACTCTGCGGAAAAAAAACCCGTCAAAAGTTCCCAAAAGAACACAACTACAATTTGTTGTATGTTTCAGAAATATATTTTAAAGATGATGTCAGAGATGAAATGTCCAAAGCGTAGGTCCCAAAGAAAGTCAACATTTTTCATCAAGAGACAAACAACAAACAAAAAATAACTTTTTTTCCCCATTTACACGGAAACCAAGAATTGCTCTTGAGCCACAGTGGTTATATACATATATACGTGTATACATATACACGCATATATACACACAAACTGGCCAATCAAACGGCGATGCCCCCAAACCTTTTTCTAAACCAACATCCGCCATTTCTCCACCCCGGTGGCGCCCTGCCCAACACCATCTTTGAAAGAGGAGCATTCTTTGGGCGCCTGTCTCTTTGTTTACTTTGAGTTGTGGATGTGACAGCGGCTCAGCGCTCCATTCCAGTCGGAAGTGCTGAATCACGTTGGAATCACTCGTTGCAAAGAACGGTCTGAAACGTTGTACCAGCGGAGCGCTGATGAGCGGAGAGGAAGTTGCTCTCGGGAAGTTGGGAGTTTTTTTTTTCTCTTCTTCTTCTTCTTAAAGTCCTCCAGTGTTCTTCTTCTGTTGTGCAAATACATTTTTGTTACATAGACAAGTAGGCATGCTGACTCACAAACCATGCAGAGAGTTAAAGTTGGCGCGAGCAGACAGCAGAAAGAAAAGAGAAAGTTAAAATATCAACAGAGACGTAGGAAATGTGTGGGAATAAAACAAGTGGAATGTTTTGTTAAGACGTGATAAAGTGATCAACTCAATCCCAAATGTGACACGTTTCTAAGATGATGCTCTATGAGAGTTCGGGTGTAACGAAGCAATCGACAAGATGTAGATTGACGAAGAACTGATGTCGGATCAGTGGGATCCGAGCAGGGAAGAAGGAGACCCCCCCCCCCCCCCCACCCCCCGTGTTATGGACAGTCAAACATTGTAGTGCAACACATGCTCAGAAAGACATTTCTAAATTATCGGCTGATGTTTTCCATCCAAAACGCGCGTCCCCTCCTCTCCTCCGCGTGATGCCGTCACAGTCGAAAGGTAAGTGCGTTGTCACCCACGCACGGGAGGAAAATGTATCGATTAGGCAACAACGTGATCAAACCTTTTACGCCGAAAAGGTTTTCAAAAGCCAACTGCGGTGGCGCTGAATGACGCCGCTCCGCCTGAAAGCAGTCGATGACGAGGGAAATACGCTGCTTTTTTCCTTTTCAAAGCTCATGAAGTAAAATCAGACACCGTACGGTTATTCGCTCACAATATCATAGCTGTCATTAGTTAAGAGTACATTTAGAAATTTTCCATATACAAATCTTCTATAAACAGTACATGTTATAAATACACAATTGATGAAAAGCAGGACAGGCGCGGAGAGCCGTAGCAAGAAAGAAAGAAAGAGTTTTGAAGTAGTGACAATAGTCCTACGGTTGTGAACGGCCCTACAGCTATCCAGAAAACGGATAAAAACACAGAACAAAACCTATGCATGAAAAAAGTTAGAAAAATAATCCTATACAATAAAAAACAAAAAAGCGGACACGCGTACCAAACACGTTTCTCGGTGTCGTAAATCGACGGCTTGATGCGGAAATTATACGTGTGGTTACAAACAGGCAATGCTCAAAATATATATATATATATATATATATATATATATTCAATTCAATATACATGACCAATGCCGAGCTCACGCCAGCAACCAAGGTAGCTGCCAACCGGCAACGCGTGGGAGGAAACGCTCGCTTGAGGTGCGAAGATTTTAAATCGGTAAACACGGAACTGGGTACCGAGAAATGACCTGCCGGCCGAGTGGAGTGAAAGTATTACCGTGGATGCAAACTCATGCTTTGGCTTTTTCTTGCTTGGCTTCGCACTGTTGGATAACGTTAAAAAAACAGAAGCAACGCCTGGTTTGCTCCGACGCAGGAAGCCGCGCGGCTTCAGTTAAAGGGAAGCTACATCAAAGGCTAAACCTTCCGATCCAACGCGCTCGCTCCAACGGCTCCGTGTTCGCACCGTTTTCTACCCAAGCCGGCAACAACCTTCCACAAAGCGATTCTCTTTTTTGTTTGTTTGGTTGTTTTTTTTTACAGAAAAATAGATCCATCCAAAAGTAAAGTGACTCTTCAAGAGAGGCTGTGAGAGACATAAACCATGTCGTCGTCACGTTCCGAGTAAACATGCTGAAAGATTGTTTTTGCTTTATTTTGCGTCCGCCTCCCGTCTCCTCCCCCCTCGCTTCCTCGGCGAGAGAAATCCGTTTACTTAAGGCAATCTTCTCCTGAAAAATCCAGCGCACCCTCACCAAGGCACTCCTCTCACTCGACGGGCCGCACCGGGGGTCGAGGCGTCGCAGTGAACGCATCTTGTAAAATATATGTCGTCTCGTGAGAATGAGTCGAAATGAGCCGAGACAAAAGAGAACAGGACCCCCTCCCTCCCTCGTCCCCCCGAGCTGTGAGTCCTCGGCCGTTCCTGGTGTTCCTGTGGTCGAAGGGCTGCTGGGTAAAGCACCGGATGTTTTCTGCAGTTCGCCTCCCCCAAACACACTGGCCCCCTCGCCCTCGGCCCCCCTGGTTTGGCCGCCGTGAGCTGGCGGGGCGGCCGCGAAGACCAACAGAAAAAAAACGAGTGTCTCTGAGCGAGTGCCGGCGGGCGGCGCTGTCATGTTTGAATGTGTTTTCCCAATTCAGTCCTCTGTCTCCTGATTGGCTCCCTACTCTCAAGGCTGAGCCCACCCCCCTCTCCCCCCCTCTCTGCACCTCATATTTTTTTTTTTTTTTTAAATGGCCGAGGGGCCGCCAATCCATGTGACTGGGGTTTCGGGGGGCTAAATGAAGGGAATCAGTCGAGACCCGTCTCCGGTGAGGTCGATGGCAGCGGTGTGACACCCTCGCGTTTCCCTCGGTTACAGTGGTTCCTCCTCCTCCATGGGTTCCTCCTCCGGCCTGGAGGACACAAACGCAAAGAAACGGATTACACACCACGCGGTTAAGCCGCAGTGCGGTGACCCACTTTTGGCTCGAGGGGTCTACTCGGGACCCGTCGGCGGTCAGGTCACCTCTGATCCATGGCGTTGCAGTTGGCCACAGACAGAGAGGCCATGGCGCTGACGGCCTCCGCCTCCTCCGAGTCTCCTCGCTTGGCCTCCAGCAAAGAGAGTCCCAGCAGCGGGGAGCAGCGGTGCAACGAGCCCCAGTACTTACCTGGCGGGGGGGTCAAAGTGCGGCGTTAGACAGGCACGCAGATGTAACACAGGCAACGATTTCTCTGTGCGGAACTCACTGTGAGTCTCTAAAACTTTCTCCAGAGAGCGGACAGCGTTGGGGTTGGGCCTCTGCTCCAGGACGGCCTTCGGCAGCGGGTCCAGCTGTCGCCAGAAAAATGAATAAACACAAACATTCCACGCTTTGCCAAGTCCGCTTCTTCCCCTTTGATGCGGGACATTCGTTGGGATTCTGATGTCCTTACCTCCTGGCCCAGCAGGGCGGCCACGCAGGCCTCGGAGGCGTCGCAGATGGCGGTGAGGTCGTGACCCCCCTCCAGAGCCAGGACCACCCGGCTCCCCGCGAGGGTCATCAGCTGCCTGGTCAGATAGCCGAAACCTGAGGAAGGAACGGGTGCAAATAGAAATTGCATTGTAAGTCTGCAGTCTCTCCTCCAGTTTGTATGTTTGTGTGAGTCGACTGCTGCAGCGCCAGATAACACGCGTCCTTCAGATAATCTTGCACTCACATTTGGACGTCAAAGTGTAGCCGCTCAGCGGGGGAGGGTGTCCCTCAACGGCGTCAAAGCCGGAGGAGACCAGCACGATGTCCGGGGCAAACTCGTTGGCTATGGGCATCACCACTGACCTGAGTGTGTGTGGGTGGAGGGGGGGGGGGGGAGGGATAACAGACAATACTTTACAATGAACGCACACATGTTCTCATCCTTTGTGTCGTCATTAATCCATTATCCCACATCAGCAGCCTCTGTTTGATTCTGCTCTCCAATGAAATGCATCTAGCAGCTTCTGCGCGCGCTCACACACACACACACACACACACACACACACACACACACACACACACACACACACTGACTGTGGCGCTGTTATCGCTGTGGTTTGTTGCTATTGTACTCTGGTACCTGAAGGCTGCCAGGTACTCCACGTCTCCCATGGGTGGATCGAGGCCTCCAGTGAAGGCGACGTTGACGTTGAACCCGACTCCAGGCCCGCTGCCCACCTGCGGAGAGAAGCGCGCGTGTGTCACTCCCATCCACAGATAAACTCCTGCACTTCCTGTTTGGTTTACTTTATGTGGAATTTAAAGAATACGGTGTTTATTTAACAACTGTCTATTTGCGTCACGCACTTACCTCGTCTGGCGCTCCGCTCCCGGGGAAGAAGTTGCCGTCGTCGTAGCGATGGATGGACAGGTAAAGGACATTGGGGTCATCGTAGAAGGCCTGCTGGGTGCCGTTGCCGTGGTGAACGTCCTGAAGTCAAGACAGCACACGGGACACGATCACAATCTGCGCGCGGCAGAGTTCTGACGCGTCCCCTTTTACGCAGACTGACTAGGTCACATGACAGATGTGCGAGGCTTCTCGGCAGACTGACCCAGTCCACGATGAGGATCTTGTTGACGCTGAGTCGCTGCTGCAGCAGCTTGGCCGCGATGGCCACCGAGTTAAAGTAGCAGAAGCCCCTGAAACAGCATCAGACAGATGAAGATCAGCTGTGCCAGAGCACGTCCCTGCTTTATTGTCATGTTTTCAATTGAGCCATTGAAACGCCTTCTGAGAAGGGAAATGAACAACAAACAAAGCGTTCTGGAAACAGCCGCTCGAAGAACGCCCGTTTAGTACTTTGTGTGCTAAATTAACTCGGCGGGCCGCGTGGGTCCGTTCCGGCGCCGGTGTTTGTGTATGCGTAGATTAAGAGTGGTGACGGCTGAGGCCTTACATGGGGGTGCTCTCCTCGGCGTGGTGTCCCGGAGGGCGGACCACAGCGAAACCGTTCTGCGGAGACAGACAGGAGGGACGTCGAGTCCGTGAGCCACAGCGCCACTCAACGTTCCCTTTACTAATCAGCGGGGAACAGCTTGATGTGACCCGAGACACAAAGAGAGGGGCTGAGGGGGTTTTTTCCTTCTTATTGGAATTATTTCCCTCAGAACCACCAACCTTGAAGCCTTTCCAGAGCACCAAGATGCCTTTAAAGGAACAATCCACCCAAATACTGTGTATATTACCAAGTTTTGACTTTGCAAGTTAAGCGCTGGGGATGTGATCGCGGTTACCTTCAGCTCCCCGGTGGCCACCTTGAAAACCAGCTCCACCACCGAGCCGACGGCGAGTCGAGCGGCGCTGGAGGAGTGGACCTCGTTCCAGATGGTGTCGCTGTCCACCTACGGACACCACGGGCACAGCTCAGCTAAAAGCACACACACACACCACGGACAGCCACACACCCTCCCTAAAGCTCCCAGAGGGGCTTTAAAGGATGCCCTCGTGTCCCCACACTGTCACTGACAGAGACAAGATGCGACTGTAATGAAGACTATTTGGTGTGTCACTTACCCCCAACCCTCCACACGGCAGACGCACGAACATGGGGGTGACTGAACCTGGGGGACGGAGAACACACGCGACAGTGAGTGGCTGGATATTAACATGTGTGTGTGTGTGTGCGTTTGTGTGTGCACTTACAATCCAGTTTCTGTCGGAGAGGGTTGGTCCCGTACAGCAGGACGTGGGCTTCAGAGTGAACCGTCTGCAGCTCCTCCAGAGAAGCCTTCCTCCCACGGATACACTACACACACACACACACACACACACACACACAGAGGGATACAACTCTGGTACACAATCCACTCCTCGAGTGAGGTTCGCTGTGGAGTCTCCTCCTCTTGTAACGTACCTCACACTGCGCTCTGAGTCCCGTCTCCTGCAGCCGAGACCAGATGCTCTGGATGCGTCCGGCGTGCTCCGGGTGGCTGTTGGTGTTTCCACACATGCACTGGTGCTTCTGCATGAGCGAGTCGTACACCAGGCCTGAGGAAACGCACACAGAGGGAAACACACACTTGTTCAATGTCAGACTATTCATCCATTAGTCGAATGAAACGTTTTTTTCCGCTCCTCCGCGGTGACCAGACGGAGGCCGGAATCACCGGCAGCTCAATGGAGAAACTAGGATGAGTTCACAGAAAGGGGATGCTGAACCTGTGGTGAAGCGGGGTTTGGCGGACGGATCGGGGGGCGGGACGCTGATGGGGAAAGAGGAGGCTGAGGCCGGAGACGATTGGGCCCTGGACAGGGGGCGGTGTGCCGGGAAGGAGAGGGACAGGCCGGCTGCCTCCATGGAGGCCTGATAGTTCCTCAGCTGATGAATCCGCTGCTGCTCCAACAACAACGCCTGCTGCTCTCACACACACACACACACACACACACACACACACACACACACACACACACACACAGGGGGGAACATAAACAAAGATGTTTAGCGAGCTGCTCAGTGAAACACCTTACATTATATTGCATATGCATGCAAATGCAACTTATGGCCACAAGATGGCAGCCAAAACCAATGATGCAGCTTTGTTTTTTTTCCCCTCAGCAGTTCATTACAGAGACGTCCTAGGACGAAGAGGGAGGGGGCTGGGAGGAAGGGGGCTTCACGTCTCAAGGACTTCCCTCATCAACAGCCACAATACATCAGCGTTGAGCAGGACCTTCACATTGATTAGTCTCACGATGCTTTGATGTCTCACTTTGAACTCGTCATCCTCTACCTGTCTGAAGAGCAGCTCCTGCTCCGCCTGCCGCTCCCTGTGCTGCTGCAGCGCCTCCTCCTGCAGCTCCTGCGGGTCGGGGGGCTCCTGCTTGATGGTGACCCCCGGCGGCAGAGCTCCCCCGTCCTGGTGCTCCCTCAGCTCCTCCTCCGTCTCCTCCGGGTGGCTCTGGTGCTGGCGGCCCCCGGGCGACTCGCCGGGCTTGGTCATCATCTGTGGGCAACAGGCGGTGTGAAAAAGGGAGAAAAGGAGGTGCGACGCTCTGATGTGAAATTCATTTCACAATCGAAACAGCGGGATGCGACAAGGCGGCGTCCAGAGGAGCGGGCCTGGCGAATCACTCCCTTCTCCGGAGCGTTCTCCGTTTAACAAGCTCGATTCGGATTACTCAGGCTTGCTCATTTCAAACGCGTCCGCTCTAATTGGATGTGAGCGGCCCTCCCCGCCGTCCGTGCTGGGGGGGCTGAATGCGCCGGGTCCGGCAGAGACATTCCTCGCTCCCCGCTGCGCTGCTTTTCATCGACCCGCTCTGGGGGCCGGCTGTTAACCGCGCAGCGATTCACTCGTCTATTCATTCACTTTCTCAACAAGGGCCATTCAAGTATATGGTGTGTGTGTGCGTGCGTGCGTGTGTGTATGAGTGTTTATGAAGTGAAGACAAAGAATAGTACAGCAAGAATTTTAAGAGTGGGCTTCAGCTACAGGTGTCTGTTTGTGTGTCTGTGTGTGTGTGTGTGTGTGTGTCTGTGTGTGTGTGTGTGTGTGTGTGTGCGTGTGTGTTTTGCAGAAGCCTCCTCTCTGTCGGATCAGGCCTTACAGATCAGAAATGCGGGTGCGAGTGTTTGTTCGCACACCTTGAGCCTCAAATCCGATAGGAGATACGATACTCTGACCTAAACCGCATCGTGTTACATATGCCGAATGAAACCAGATATGCATGTTACATTGTGAGCTTCAGTATCAGTTTGTGTGTGTGTGACGGGAGGTAGTAGCAGTGAAAACGGCTCTCAATCTTATGTTTTGTACATAAATATTATATATATATAACATTCTATGACCTCAAGAAATATGATAATATAATTTATAATATGTAATAACTCGCTGCTGTCAATGATCTACCTTATCTAACTACACTCAATGACTCACAATAATTCCTCTTTAAAGAGGAGATTTTCATTTTTGTCCTCATAAAACATAAGACTCTGGCTCGGTGTGCCCGCAGGCTGTTTTAGAGATGTTCCTGCGAGAAGCTGCTCTGGAGAGCGATGGAGCATACGGAGTGGGCGAGAGCAAAGCGGGGGAGGCGGAGGAGGAGAGGAAATCCCTTGTTTCATCCACCCACCTCTCCTCCAGCGAGCGCTCTGCTGGAATAGGTGCTGCCGTTTAAAGGCTTCCGCTCTGTTGCCATGGCGGCACGCTGCTTACTACCGGCTACTACCACTCGGCCCGCGGGGACGCGGATGCTGACGTGCACCGCCCTCCGTCTGCTAGCGAGCGGCATCGCCTCCTCACCTTGTTGAGGTGGAGCTGCTGCTGCTGCTGGAACTGCTGCTTGTGCTTCTCCAGGAACTGCTGGTGCTGCTGCTGCACCACCAGCTGCTGCAGGGCCAGGGCCTGGGCGTGAGCCTGCGCGGCGCTCCCCTGGGGCAGCGGGGCCGACTGGGTCCGCCCCAGGGGCCGGTGCTGCCGCTGCAGCTTGGCCATGGACGCCGCCGGCGACATGGACAGGCCGCTCACACCTTTGGACATGAAGACAGGAAGACTTTTAGAAGAAAAACTCCACTCAACAATCAAAGGAACACTTAAAATGACCATTTGTGTGTCGCTGACTGTTGGGCTCGTGTCTGTTTCTAGCTGTGCTGTTATTGGTGTTGGACCTAAGATTAATCAGCAGATGTATTTGTGAAGCAAATAAAAAGCACCATCTGTGCAGCCGTGATTTCCTCTACGGGGATCACAGCAGCAGGGAAAAGGGAAGAGATTATTTAATTAACAGTGCATCACCCGAATGAGGAAAGTCAGAAACACTCCGGGAAATGATCTGAGAGAATATCAGAGAAGATGACTCAACACCCGGCGTGTTTTCAAATTGTTTCTGAAAGAGGCTCCAGACTTCAGTACGAGCCGACATCAAGCGCGGCTGCTTTTGTGTGCTTTTCTCTCTTTTTTTTTTTTAAACGCAACATTCCGTCTTCTCCACTCCCCCCCCAGGCCCGCGTGTGGGCGTGCACACGTCCCTCGTTTGTGAGCGCGGATGCGTAACATACATGCGTCTGCGTGTGCGTCATCGCCCATTCACTGCCAGCGCCCCCCCCCCCTGAAATAACCGCAAAGTGGTCGTCAATGAATGGGCTGATGGGAAAGGTCAGCACAATGCACCCATGTCGCACTCTCATAGCCTACGTTCACACAATGAAAGGAGCTCATTAGCGTGAGCTGCTGAATGGTCGCCTGTATTAGAACTTTCCTCTACACTCCTACCTGTCACCAGGGGGCTCTGTGCTGGGCTCTGCTCCATGAGCACCATGTGTTGGAGCAGCGGACTGTGGGCGCCGTGCCCGCCCGTTCCCGCTCCGGCCTCGGCCAGGTAAGGGGTCAAGTGGCCGCCGGAGAGGAAGGGAGGGCTGAGGGAGAGGGCCGGCTGCAGACCTCCCTCCTGCTGTGCCGAGGTCACCTTGGGTGGAGGTTGAGAGAAGCACAAGCGGTCACACAAGAGTCCCGGCGCGTTCCCAGAGACGCAAAGCGGTCGGCGGCGGTCTCCTCCTCACGTTTGACGCGGCGGTGGACGTGGCCGTGGCGGGCAGCCCCAGGGTGATGTTGGGCAAGGACGGCGAAGTGTAGAGGGACAGCTGGTTCACGGAGCCCCGCTCGGCGCCGCACAGCCTCTGGGCCAGAGACGCCTGGGGAGAACATTCAGATGACTCGTCAGTGTCGGAATCAAGGGAAAAGAGCGGCGTCTGCCGCCGTCCGCCTCCTCCGCACTGCCCAGGTGCCCTTAATGGCTGCCGGAAAAATAGCGACCACCTGCTCTGTGTGTGTGTTTGTTACCTCCGTGTTGTTGGCGACTGACGCGGTGATGCCGTTCTCATTGGGGATGTTGTTGGAGCTGTTATTCGGGGAACTGGGGCCCGAGCCGGGGGCGCTGCTGCACGCCGAGTCTGAAACACAAACACGCAGAGATGTCAAACACAAGTCACAAGCGGCCCGAAAATCAAATCTTTGACGGCGCGTGACGTCGCTCACCCGCCATGTCGAGCGAGCGCTTCTTGGCGGAGGTGATGGGGCTGTCTCGGCGCCGCAGCAGCGGACTGCTCCTCCGCTCGCTCACCTTCTGCTTGAGCCGCGAGCGCAGCTTCAGGTTGGGCTCCGAGGCTGAGGGACCAGAACCGCACGTCAGGGTTCCGCACATTCGCTTGCGCCTGCTGCCGCCATCAGAAGGGTGGGAGAGCTCCCCGAGCTGCGGCCTCGGAGCGTACGGGCGCACCCTTCCACTCTGCGCAAACTGCTACGACCGCGCCAAATTCTGATCCATCTCCCGCCACTCAGCGGCTTAAACGCAATTAGCTCCAATTTGGGAGCCGTGTCAGATTGCCTGAAGGCTTTTTGGTCTTTTGTGTCACAGAGAAGGGACCGGCATGTCACCTCGGCTCCAGCCACGCGGGCTGATGCTCCGTTCATTCCCGCACGCCCAATCAGCAGCCTCGGCAGAATCTCCCTATTCATTATCCCCATTTTTAATCGTGGTGAAGCGCCAGCCGCGATTATGACGTATCGAAAAGGCTTCTTCGCCTGCAGCAAACGTCCTTTTAAGTATTTTGCAAAGGTAAATGGCAAAAAGAAAGATGCCATTCAGATTGTCCAAACCATTCAAAAAGGAAACACGGTATCTCACCTCACTTTCTTAGTCACAATTACATATTAGGAGAGTTTTTCCGTGTTTGACACCACAAAGGGTCAATTTATTTTTTGCTTCCTTCTTCAGCAGAATGAAAAGTATGAAATCATGTATCTGTCACATGGACAGAGGTTACATGATGCATTAAAAACATTTCCATTGTGGCGAGTTAATCAACTATTATTATCCTATATGGAAATCCTAACTGTCACGTAGCTTCAGCGTGACCGTATTGCTGTTTTTCTGTCACGCAGCCTTGTTAGGGGCCCTAGCGACGCATGACCACATACACTGGCTAATGATATCAATGCATAGACGGGGCATTGTCACCATCCCGCAAACGGGCCTCAAGGCCCGATGGTCGACGGTCACGTTTGCGAGGGACGTCTGTCAGACAACTGCGTGTGTGCCATTGTGTCCATGTGAAGGACTGGCTGCCCCAGATAGGCGACAACAAAACGTCATATTTGCTCATCAGTGAAAAGACGAGGACATCAAAGGGTTCTGTCTGTTTGAGGGCCTCTAACTTTCCCACCCATGAGCATGTGAGAACATGCTCCTGATGCCCCCTGACCCCGGAATGTTCACAGCTTTTCATTCGGCTCATTCGGCTCTGGGTCCCCCCGGCCCCTGGGAGCAGCTCTCTCTTGTCACGCGGCTCGTCTCCCACCGCACATTGAGACGATCCCACTCGGCCGCGAGGGCGCCGTCGCTTGAGAGTGTGCATTTCTCATTGTGGCGTGGTTAAGGGGGCCGTCGACGCTACGGGTCTGAAAAGCGAGGGAGGCGGGCGCACAGAGGAGCGCTGTTGCTTCCCTCTACCTCCACTTCACGGCCAGGCGGTGATATAAAAGGGCCTCTAACCTCGCTGGCATTACCATAAGTAAACCCCGCAAAGCACGTCATCGCCGTGGGCAAATAGCAGGGTGGCACAGGTTCTCTCCTCTGGAACACAATCCTCCGCCTTATAGAAATCACGGGACCTACTGACACTCCAGGGACCTTTCTTACTCCTCGCCGTTTTCCAAACCCCCGCCTCCTCTTTCCCTACATGAAGCGAGTTCTCTGGGAGTAAAAAGGACCAAATCGATCTTCCTGATTGTCCCGGTTCCCTCTTTTAAGCCCTTCGTGTACCCGCCCCCCCCCCTTCTCCTCTCCCCGGGTGGAATGTCTCAGCTGTGGTCTGCGTCGGCTTTGGCAGCCCGAAGGCTCAGTCAACAGGGCCGCCGCGCTAAGTGAATAATTGCACTGTAAGACGACCGCCGCATCACGGCTACACCACCGCACACACCGACCGCGCTCCACACACACACACACACCTGACAAAATCAAATAAAACACGCCGCAAACAGCTGCTTTTACTCTGCAGAGCCTGCTGTGAAATCTTTGCTGAATGTGGAAAATACTGCAAATACTTCGTTTTTGGGGGAAATTAAAGAAGTTCATGTATCCTTAGACCTGAGTTAACAGATGACTCACTAAAATGTTTTCTGAAATTGAAACCACGGATTTCTGGCCTCCAGTCGTAATCAGTAATCAGTTGAAATGCAGAACACAAAAATAAACAAAGGTTTGTGTTAAAATCCACAAAATAATTTTTTGGAAGCTGATCCGTTATGACTAATATGGATATTTTACACCAAAATGTTCTATCAACATTTAATCTAAAAAAGTTATTGGACGTCTCTGATTTGACGTCTCTGACACAGCGAGTAAACCGAGGACAGCTCTGACGTGTCCACTGTGTATGCAGCATAACGGCATGCAGTTGTGATATACCCGGAGCAGAAGTAGCAGGCAAACTAAAAACAATAAAGGGCCAGGACTCGAGCCCTGCGGTGCCCCAAGAGCATTAGCTGCACTTTGAGAGGACCGACGCAGCCATTGTCAAACACAGGTAAGTTTAATATGCCATCATCCGCGTCAAGACCAAACGTCTCAAGACGTTGGCGTTTAAAAGACGACTACAACGTGCCTCCATTGAACCCCTGAACCACCTCCGCTTCAGCTCCCTCTAACTCTGTCGTGTGGGGGGGATGCAGGGAGACCCAGACAGCCTAATGAAGACGTGATAGCATCTGAATCATGCCAGACGCGAGTCTGCACAGCAGCCACTGGACGTTGCGCGTGATCCTCCACAGGGGTAAGCAGACAGCTCTGCGGTGCGTGTTTACGTACCAGTCTTCCGCAGGGGGAAGTCGTCCCGGGGGTTGTAGACACCGAGCACGGGGTGGTTGTAGGTGGACACGCCGGTCTGTGGTGGCGAGCTCTGGTCCAGAGAGCTGTGCTGGGTTTTGCTACAGAGCAACAACAAAGACACAACGTTAAAAGCGGTTCACAGAAACCGTGCAAAGCAACTGATCAGACCGCCATCTGTCCACTCGCTGTCTACAGAACAGGGCGGCGCTGTGGGCGCCGTTGAGGCGAGTTGGCCTCGGACCAAAGTGCACGTTCCTCCTGACGAGCGGATGTACACAGACGTCTCTACCAAAATAATCGAGGGGGCCGACGAGTACAATGAGGGGATCGAGGAAGGCAAAGCGGAGACGGGCGGATGCAGGAAGAGAAAGTCGGGGTCATGAAGAAAACGATGTCTGGTGCTCCATTACGAGTCGGGTGATTGTTGGAAAGTAACACAGAACATTAATAGTGAACTGCACAACATTACATTACACTTTCAAATTGACAATTTGACAGAACGTGAAAAAAAAATTCTTTCATTCTCAACTACGCTGATCTCTTGTTTGTTTGCTGTCGTTCGTAACACAGAAAGATTTTTTCTATTACATGTTTTATTGAAGTACACAATTTGAACACTTTCCTCCACCATTAAAAAACTGTAAGGACAACAATGAAAAAAACTAAAAGTGATATCTAATTGTGGTTTATACATAGAATTGGTTACGTAACCATGTTCCCGAGTGACTGAGACCATGAAAGTGACGACAGAGCAAACAAAAGAGGAAACAGCAAGTGAACGCACCTGGAGAGGGCTCCACAGAAGCCACAATAAACACTCAAGGCCGAGCTTTTAGTGTGAGAGCGCCGATCAACAGGTTCCAATATCCTGCTCTCGTGTGTGTGTGTGTGTGTGTGTGTGTGTGTGTGTGTGAGCGTGCACGTGTATCCCCACCGCTGTTTCATAACCCTGCTCCTACAGTGGGGCAGGTGCGGAAGAGGAGAGGCTCGCTGACAGATTGAGACACGACCCGATGCATAATTCAGCTGCGGGGAGACAAAGTGTTGCTCACCGGTACCAGTAGGGGGCGTCGTTGTGGAGCCCCCCCTGGTTGAGGCTGCGCTGGGCCAGGGCCTTCTTCTTGTTCAGGACAAACTCCTGGAGCCGCATCTTCACCTCGGTGCTCGCCACGGCACCTGCGGATACACGGAGAACAAATTGGCGTTTTCGTTGTTTTATTAAAGGAGTGTCTTAGCAGAACGGCTCGGTGCCGGTCTGTGAAGAGGAGAGTCACAGATACACGACTCGCCATTAGTAAGTTCACGCCTCACGCCCAGCGATTCCTGAACGCACATAGTCATAAAATCCACGTACTAAGTTAAAAAGCATGTCATGCTTTTTAAGTCATTCTTAGTATGTAAAGTAAACAAGGTTTTTAATGAGAGAGGTATGAATGTTCTCTGAATCTTTTGTGTTCACTCTCTATTAAAAAATACGGCACAATGTCAGCTGACTAATAGAAAATCCAATAGTTGGCTGAGCCTCCGCCGAGGCCACCTGCTAAGCGCGCGCCTTGGATCCCGGCGGATGCCACCGAGCGGGCAGAAGGCGAACTTGGAAACTTGTTACCAGTGATTTCTGCGGCAGCGTCCTGCGATATTTTGCGCTTTGATGGCCTACTTACTCTCCTGGCCCCGCTCCTTGTTCTTCAACAGGAGCAGCTTCTGCTCCCTCTGCTGTTTCTCCAGCTCCTGCTCCAGACGGTGGTTCTCCATCTTCCTCTGGTGCTCCAGCAGCTCCTGCTGGTGCTTCAGTGCCAGGAGCTCTTGTTGTTGCTGCGGGAAGAAACACCAGAGTAATGTCTCCAAACTTCCAGCGATACGCTCAAACTTTTGTCGCAAACTCTGCACAACAGGAGACATCAGGCGCCTCGGCCGCGAGATGAGATCCCTTCATGAAGATAACTTCTGGTTTGCTCATCGAAATGTAACTCGTTCATGACTTTCTCCTCTTTAAACGTCAATTTACATTCCACTCCCGGTAAGTTGCCATCTGAGATAATTAAGGCTGACAGCTGTTTGAGGCAATGAAATAAAATCCGTTGCAAATCTATAAAAACCTCAGGCCTCGAGCGTAAGCCTTTAAATAAACAAAAACAATTTAGCTGTGGACAGGAAACATAATCCAATCTGCTCACTTCCTCATCACTCCAGTAGAGACAGAGGAGAGCATCTGTTAATCCCTTTACATGAATAAAAATCTCAGGCCTTTAAACTGACAAAAGGTCACAAATAAAAATCTGCATAAAAGCCCGAATGTGTTCAGAAACCCGTCTCTGTGTCCCTGAAGTGTCCTCGAATGAGCCATTGTGCATGAGAGCATCTCTTAAATGCTGCCGATACAAAACCAAAGCAGCTGTCACCGCCTCAATACGTTTCTTCGACTCAAGGCGCTGAGGGTCCCGTGAGAAAAGCACATCGGTATCTCGTGCGGAGCCCCCATTTCGTTTTCGTTGTCTTTCAATCAACGTTGGGGGATTTGGGGACGTACAGAGGCACCTCCCTCGCCCCCACACACACACACACACACGTAACCCCTGTGGCTCAGCAGACCAGAGGAGTGCACACGGATGACTAACACTGCAAAGAGCTGCACCATAGCTCTCACTTCACGAGGGTTCCCTGTCGTCAACACAAGAAACGTGTGTGTTTGCACACAGTGTAGCGAGGGCGCGCACGTGAGAGGGTGTGTGTGTGTGGTAATGCCCCAGTGCGTGTGCGTGTGTGTGTGTCCACAGGGGCCGTGAATGGGGCCGATTGAAGCCGGGCCCCCGTGCTCCGGCCGTGCGTCAGCGGCCTCCACCCGAGTGGTCCCGCCGCCCCACCACAGGCCGGAAGACCCTTCAGACAGCATCGCTAATCCCTCAGTGTCACAGGGCGACCGGACGGACGGGACGCTGTGGACACATGAATACGACAACGGATCATCTGCAAAGGATTCCACATCAGGGAGAAGGATGGAATGAAGGCAGGCGGGAAGGTTGAGGAAGAGCGGGGACGTGGAAATGGGGACATGAGGACATGAGGAAGACAGGGAGGAAAGAAACACGAACGCAAGGGAGGCACAGTAAAGGTAACGAAAAGGAAGCTAAGAAGGGGGTTAAGAGATAAGCAGAAAGGAGAGACGAAAGAAGGCAGAGCAAGAGAGAAGAAAAGTCCCAAGGAGGGAGGAGAGGAAAGAAGGAAAACGAGAAGGGGAGTAAGAAAAAATGAAGAAAGATGACATGAAGGAATGAAGGCAGACACAAATAAGGAAAAGCAAGAAGGGGGAAGAAGACAGGAAGAGAGAAAATACGTAAAATTAACTGGAGAGGAAGGAGGGAAAGAGGCAAGAAAGAACCCAGAAAATAAGGAAGAGAGAAGGAAAGGAGTGGAAAAGGAAGGACAGGAAGTAGGGCAGTAAGAAAAAAAAGGTAAAGAAGGGAAGGAGAAGAAAGTAGAAAGGAACAGGGAAGGAAGGAAGGAAGCAAAGAAACAAAGGGTCTCAGTAAGGATGGAAAAGAAGAAAGAATGAAAACAGGGAGAAAGAAAAGGAATAAAAGAAAGACGACCCGTACGAATAGTTAGAACCATCGAGCACACTGCATTCTAATCGCCCCACGACCCCTTTTAAGACCTTTAATTCCTGAATAGAAAGCAGCGTAAGCAGTAATACTCTACAGGAGAACAAACGGCGTCATATTTCCACACAGCGTCTAAGCCTCTCTGGGCTCTCGGGGGCCCCCGGATGGCCCCGATGTGACGGAGCGCCGCCGCGTGGGCGTGCTGATCTACAACCGCTCTGGATTTCCAGGTCGCTAACGAGACGGCGCTCTCCGTGTCAAGCAAGTGGGACTCAAAAAGCAACTGCTGGCCTCGGAGTCAGATCGGGCCCCTTTCGCCACGCGGCCACCGGCCCACGGACGCGTACACTCAAAGAGACGCAGCGCGCCGCCACCTGTCACACGGGACACAAAACCGTCGAGAAACGCACGCTCCGAAGCCGCAGCTCCTCCTCAGCGAGGATCGAAACGTGTCCGGGCTGCTCGCTCCTTCCTACTACTTCAATCATATTTGTTGTCGGCTGCTGTTGGTCTGTGGCGCCAATGATCGATGCCGCTATTTTCCTTATGAATAAAAGGTCGGATGAACTCACCACTGAGCCGTGGAGGAGGCGGACGGCCATAGAAAGGGAACGTGCGGGAGGTACCTTGATGTGCTCCTGCAGCTGCACCTCGTGCTGCCGGGACAGCTGCTCGTGCTGCCGCTGGAACTCGGCGATGAGGATCTGCCGCTGGATCTGCTGCTTCTGCTTCAGGGTCAGCAGCTCCTGCTGCAGCTGCTGCTCGCGCACGCCCCCGCCCGCCTGGCACGCGGCCCCCACCAAACCCGGCCCGGGCGACTGCTGACCGGGCGGGGAGAGCGAGGACACCTGCTGCTGCTGCTGCTGGTGGTGCTGCTGGTGGTGCTGATGGTGCTGGTCCACGCGCAGGTCCATGGGGATGGCGGCTGGAGGGAGACGCAGGGGAAGCGCCGAGTTGATGTCCACTGCGAGGTGGGGGGGGGGCAGACATAGGGTTGGTGATTGTTTTTGATTGACAGCACAGGGGTAAAGAATAACACCACAGAATAAAGCCTCACACCACCAGCCAAACCTCTGACCGCTGACCTCTCCCCCATAAATAAAGCTCCACGTCGGTAGCAACGAAAGGAGAAAAGCACGCAGACGCGCCCGGTGGTGCAGGCCCATCGGACAAGGATGCCATTGACAGCCGGCCACAAATCACTGCACAGGAGGCCCTCCAATCACGCGGCTTCCTCCCCGCTCGACGGGAACAAATAGGAGTCGATCGGCTGATTATTTACCTACATGTTTGCAGAGAGCGCGGCGAGAGCCAGAGATACTTGCCTGGAGTTTTGTGCTAATACAGAGGCAAACACACACTTAATGGCTTATAAAAAGCTTACATGAGGGCACACACATACACACACACACACACACACACACACGCGCAGCAAGTCGCACTTGACCCGATCACGCGGACCCGATCATGCGGCTCGAAGTGGACTTTTTAATTGATATCTCTTCTCATCCTGCATCAGCTGAGCCCCAACTTGATCTATGAGGCATCGCTCCGGCGCTCTGCTCACTGCAGACGAACCGTGGCCAAGGACCCATAAAGTACAGCCGAGAGCGAGGCGCATTGGGTCCTGCGGCGCTGCGGTCATGTGGGGGGGGGGTGACAACAACGTGTGAGCCACCAGTCTCCTCATCTGCTCACCATGCGTCCAAAGTGAGAACGAGTCTCTCCGTTTTAACCCGCGGGACGTGAGCTTTGACAAGGTCTGATTTACGCTTGGATGTGCATGAGTCACTCTGCTGCCTGTGAGGAGAGTCGATCGGTGCAGCCGCATTGAGGCGAACGTGCACCGCGGCCGGGTGGAAGGAGCACGAGCCTCCTGTTTTCTTATTGCAGAGAAGCTTAACGACAGAGTTAACGGGAAAAGACAAGAAAGAAGGAAGGAATGCACAGGAATGACAGGAAGCTGCACTTGTCGGAGGTTTCGGAGGTTTCCAATCTTGGCTCATTCACGTCAATAAGTCATACATGTCGTCCCCGTACAAAATGTTCCTCCACGGCCATTGAGTCCATGACACAACACAAACAGCCTCGTGCAGCCAAACGCGTTAACACGTACCCATCGGTGCTCTCCTTCTCCTCCTCTTCCTCCTCCTCCCAGCAGCCTCCTCTCCCGTCCTTATCGCTGCACCTCCTTCAGTCTGTTGTAGCGAATGACAGCTCTCCTTTCAGCTCATCTGACTTCTCTCAGTCTTCGCCTCCGTCACTATTTGCTCCTCGTCCATCCCCTCTCCTGTTAAACCCGATGGGCGTCTTTCCCCCCCGCCCCCCCGTCTCTCGCTTGCTGAGTGGTGACATCACAGGGCAGTCTAAGGCATGCAGCCTGTTTATTCTGCAGCCCTCTGCTTTTCCAGGAACCAACGTCCCAAAGACACACACACACACACACACGGCAGCACTCTCTCCCTTGCCCCCCCCCCCCCTCGACCTGCTTCCCTAGCTTCTACGGAAAATCCTTCACGCCGGTTGAAGTGCATCAAACACCTCCTTCCTCCTTCTCCTAGGAGTCCAGTTACGCCGCACGTGCCCCCCCCCTCCCAAAAAACAACCATGTGGTTTTAATACACAGTGCTCAAATTCCTGGCCTGCATTTTGCCATCATTTTCCCAAACAAATAAAACCACAAGATGGAGGATCATAAAGCAAGATGAGGGTATTAGTGCTGGCTAATCATTTGTTATTGTTTTTAACACTAATGTTGCTGCTGCTTCAGTCCTGTGTCCCATTACTGTTTGCATGCTTTTTCTCATTTGAATCCTTGAGATATAGATTTAGCTGATTAATGTTATATTTATCAGTTGACGTTTCTTTCCTCTACTCTCCTCTCTCACGTCTGTTTTATTTATGTTATCTGGTTTTATGCGGTTATGCATGCAGATCAAATAAAAAGGTCTTTCACGCAAACTTTTTTTACTTGCAGATATAAAATGCACGTAAAAAAAGAAAGCTTTCAGCAGTGCTTCAGCTAAAGTGAAATAAACAGACAAAATGAATTTGCTATCAACAGAAATATCAATCGGTTTCTGTTGAAGACGACCTAGAGAGTCACGTCTTTGTGTGTGGAAGTCGTTGGTTTGTTTGTTTATTTATGTGCATCGCCACTGCTGCTTGTCATCGCGGACACATTTGTCCCGTATTTTCCTCCACAACTTTGCGCACCTCTCGACCGGCAAACCGACGTTTGCGGCGATCTCCCTCCATGAATCCAACCCGCTTCTACAACCCGTCATTGGCGTATATATTTACACATTTCTTCAGACAAAAGTTCTTCAATCTGATCCGGTCTCTCGTAAACATTCTTCGTTTTAATAATGGCGGTATTGTGCTATGAAAACGGAAATGTGAGACTCCGTAAAGGACGTAGTTAGCAGACCAATCGCAGCCTGGTGCGCTGCGGGAGGCTTGCGTCGCTTTTGACGCAAGCCTGGAAAAATGGGTCAACACAGAAGCATAAACTAGGCTTTATAAGTAATCAGGAATATAATTCTGAAATTAGTCAATGAAGCAAAAAAAATCCATTGGCTGCAGAAAGTAAGAAAGTGGTACGGTCTCCCTCGAGGGACAAAAAGCACACTTAACTAAACTACCCAAGCTGAGAGCTCACCTGGTTCAGACGGCAGCAGGTACTTTGTCTCCGTCTGTCTCTGCTGTCCTCCGAGCGCTCCCAGGTGGATGTGAAACACCCCCCACCCCGCCGCCCTCTTTCTCCCTTCCTTCGGCTGATCCTTTACTCTACTCCCCTTGAACTCTATCGCTAACAGCGGGTTCCGTCTCCCCCCCCTCCCGACCCCCAGCTGCGCGTCTCCATCCCACCTCCCTTCCCTCCCGCGTCCCCCCAACCGACCGCGGCCCTCCTGGCCTCCGATTGCAAATCTAATTTTACCAAACACACACTGAGCCGCTTTTTTGAAGCGTGCAAAGAGACGACAATGAAGGAGCAGATTCGCCACACGGCGTTCCACAGTGAGTTTAGCAGCAGGCCTTGAGAGAGGCAACAAGTAGCCCATCTGTTGATGAGGGGGGAATAGCTGCCAACGGCTTACAGATCCGCCCGCGCTACTTTCTCGGCTCCGTGCAAAACTCTCGGAGACGACGATCCCGGGTTTGGGGCCCGGACCTCTGGAGCCAGACAGGGGCGGGGAGGGCGTGACGGAGGTGACGTGCGGAGGTGCGGTCTCCTTCTACCGAGGAGGCAAGCTCCGACTCGCCGGAGGGCCTCGGTGACGTCGGGCCGGCGGTCGGCGTGACGGGGAGGAGGCGGGTGGACGTGCGGGAACACGCCCGAGTCTGTGAGTGTTGAACACGCTCGAGGCCCGGCGTCCCGCTTGCAAACCTTGGATCCAGGCAGAGCGATGAAGATGCAGACCCCATGAAACTAATAGTTAATTCCATTGCAGATTGGAAACAGCAAAAATGGGGCCTGCCCCCCCTCCTCCCCCAGCTCTGTATCCAAGACAACAGATTTTGCGAATATCTGATGAAGTCACTCCAGTGAATTTCAATATTTCATCAGCCGAGCTGCAGGCGCGCGTAACATAACCCCCCCCTCCCCGACACCGCGAGGGAGCGCGCGAGGCTCCGGAGGGGTTTGGGGTGAGAGGGAGAGGTGCTTCTGGGTCGCGGTGAGGAACAAGTTGTTATTTAGTGGTTGTGCCGAAGCAAGCCGTCTGCGACTGCTTCACAAACGGAAGAAAAAAACCAAAGAGCAGCACGGGGAGTCAATTATGAATCGCAGTTGTACGTTATTTTTGAATGGGGTGGGGGAGCGAGGGGGAATATAATTATTATTTCTGTGGTGATAAATGTGGCGAGGATTGAAGCGTCCTCGCTGTGGAGTCCGATAATACACCATGCATATATTACCTCGGACTCATTTCTCCGGCTGATTACCTCATCTCCATCTGTGCCCCTTTTCTACACTCGCGCCTCTTGTTGTGAACACAGCGCGACCCTTTGTGATGTTTGGACCGTGTCCTTGCAGAGGAGAAGGGACGCCTGCAGCCGGCGAGAAGCCTCTTTTCACCTATTTGTCTTTTCAAATATTCTTAGCCCACATGCTCTAAAAATAAAAGTGTGTGATTTGTTTTGGGACGGTCTCAGCTCCTGCCTCGGGGGGGAGACGGCAGACACATCGACGGGATATTCACAATTCACTTGTTTTGTCGTATATTTTTGGCCGCCAGTCCCCCTGAGGCGTTCCACAGACACTTTCCCATTCGGGCGCTTTCCATTCAACAAAATGGCACTGCGTAAATCGAGCGTACGGGACTCATTCAAATGAGCCGGCCATCAGGTGAACCGTGTTTCCCGAATGTCACAGGTGGCTTTTAAAGCGCAGGCACCGATCATAAGAAGACTGAATGGAAATCAGATTCCAGGAACAACACCGATGGA